CATCGTCAGTGGAGAAGGGTTGTCTAGTGTCGCTTTAGGGAGGAGAGTGGTGGCTGGTCCTCTTGTCCAATTTCTGTCACGGGAGGCGTTGGCGTATGGAAATTCATTCGGAAGGGGTGGGATGTTTTTTCCTCACACATTAGATTCAAGGTTCGTGATGGTAGGCGTGTACAATTTTGGGAAGATTTATGGTGTGGAGATCAATTGTTGTCTTATTCCTTTCCCAGACTTTACAATATTGCCGAAAATAAGCATGTTTGCGTAGTTGACTATTATTAGCTTAATAGCAATGGGGTTACGTGGGATGTGCGTTTTAGACGTTCTTTTTAGGATTGGGAGATGGAAGAAGCATGCGTTTTTTTGGAAGTGCTATATCAACAGAAAGATGTTGGCAAAGGTTGTAATGACATTTTGTGTGTCCCTTCCGCCTATGGTAGATATGGTGTAAGATCCATGTTCTTGTGTTTATCCAATTTCGTTGGTCATGACTTCCCATGGAAAACTATTTGGCGCTCTAAGGCTCCACTCAGAGTCGCATTTTTGTTTCGACAGCCACCTAGGGAAAGATTTTGATGTTGGATAATCTGAGAAAGAGAGGTAACACTATTGTTAATTGGTGCTGTCTTTGAAAAACAGATGGTGAGTCGATGGATCACATTCTTATGCACTATCATGTGGCATACGATTGTTGAAATCTCATCTTCAGCATTTTTGGCGTTCAGTGGGTAATTCCTCAATCCTCCATACGACTAATTAACGCATGGAGAAGATGCCCAGTCAAAGGTCATGTTCGTGACTATTGGAGGATTGTTCCATATTGTGTTTGGTGGTGTATATGGAGAGAGAGAAATAGCAGAAATTTTGAAGGAAAAGAATCGTTATTGGCTAATTTAAAAATCCATATTCTCCGTTCTCTTTTCTGTTATGTAAGAGGAAACATTTGCTCCTCAACTGATGACAAATCGGGTTCATCTTTGGATTGGATTTCGTCAAAACCTATACATGTTCGGGTTGGGCTCGGGCTCAACCCAAACCCAACCCAAAACCAAAAATTAAAAATTCTTTTTTTTTTTTTTCTTTTCTCCTCTCTCTCCTCTCTCTTCTTTCTCTTTCTCTCTCAGCCGCCGTCCACGCCACTGCCGCTGCCGTCGTCCCTCGGCCTCAGCCGCTGATCAGCCGCCGCCGTAGTCCCTCAGCCACTAATCCACCGCCATCTCTCTGTCACTTCTTATTTAAGAGAAAATTAAAAAAAAAAAAAAAAAAAACTTTGGTTTTTTATTGCCTCACGGATCAGACTGTTAATTTGTAACCCTACTTTATGGTCTCCAACTTAGCAGTTTATATGTGAAAAACTTCCGAAAGATATTCTAGAACAGCATGTCCTGTTTATGGACCCAGTTCTTGCTACAGGTAACTGTATATATTTGTAATTCTTTGGAGAATATATATATTATTGAATAACATTTCTTCACTTTTTTCTCCTTTTCCATTTCCAGTATCTACATAATATTATTATTATTATTATTATCTTTAAAATATACGCCAATCACTATATTGTGCAAAAATAGGTTTGGGGAAGGAGGACAAGTCACATCGTGACGATTTTTTCTTTCATGGACATCTGACATTGAGAAAATTTCTCTCCTTTGTTTCCATGATATATGAAAATTATATATCTGAAATATATGGGTTTTGAACTTTTGATTCTTGCAGATATATCTGAAATATATGAGTTTTGAACTTCTGATTCTTGACGATTTTGTAGTTTGTAGTTGCAGAGAAAGAGGGAGAGTTGAGAATGAGACCTGGAGGCAATTGGGGAGGCTGAAATGATTTGCCCTAAATTTTTTTTTTTTTTTTTTAATAATAACATAATCAAATAAAATATATATATATATATATATATATATATAAATTTTCAAAAAAAAATATTATTTAAAAAAAAAAAACTCAACCCGCCCAACCCGACCGGCCCGAAAATATTCGAGCTGGGTTTTGACCATAACCCATGTTTTGTACAATTCGGGCTGACCCAACCCAACCTGATTCGAGTTGAGGTTGGGTTGGGACTGGGATGGGTTGGGCCAACCCAACTTGCAGCCCTATCTATTGGTCCTTGGGTTCATTCTTCGTTTTGTGTATTAGGGACGCATTCCCCTTTTGAACACTTTTCTAATAAATTATTACTTATAAAAAAAATTAAAAAATAAAAATTTATCCTGTGTATCCACTATAGTTCAGGAACCATGCAAATTACTCCTACTAGAGGTCTGAAGCAGGTGACCCCTCGTTTCCATTCCTTTTCTTAATGATTGCAGATAATTTATTATTAGCTCTTTCAAAAGCTAACCACAAGAACATGATGACTGGAATGACAATTTGAATGGGAGCTCAAACAGTGGATCATCAGAATTGCTGATAATAGTTTACTATTTTGCAAATCTGTGGAAGGGATAAAATAATAAACTTGAAGAAAATATTGGAGGAGTATGGTACTACTTCTGGACAACAAATCATTTTGACAAATCATCAATGCACTTCAAACCCAATCTAATGAAAGGGAAAGACAGAAACTGATGAAAGTTTTTGGTATTTCACAAGAGGGGTTGTCTGAGAAGTACATTGGCTTACATTTTGTTATTTAAAGGAAAAATATAGAGATTTTGAGATACCACATAACAATGGCTTCCTACATAAAAGGTTGAAAGGAAAACATCATGTCATCTTGGGCAGGGTAGCGCTACTAAAATTTGTATTAGCAATTCAAACTTCCAACTCAAATACAAAGTTTATTAAAAGCTTTGATGAACAAGTTTTTGTAGAGTAGCAATGATGGAAATTGGAAAACACATTGGATGGCATGGGACAACTATGCTCTCAAAGGTTCTTGATTAGGAATTGCAAAAGAGGCAGCTATGGGACACGCTTCCCTGAACCCTATCCTGTTCCATTTGAAAATACAGCAGCCCGCCCCAATCCCGGGTTATCATCAAAAAAAATGAACAAGTCATCATATAACAGGGGAAGAAAATTGAAACACAATACCTTAGATAGATTTTGCTGAACTCGTAGATCTAGAGACAGATATGTTGAAGGGAGGCAAATAGTTGGCATACAGATGTAGAGCCCAAGAGGGAAAAAAAATGACCATGAGGAAAGAGAAGATGGAGAGAGAGGGAGTCAGAGATCATGAAATGTGAATCGTTAAGAGGAGAGGCTTGAGTAAAAGGCAAGGTCATATGAGCTTAAATTTTGTAACGAAAACCCAGAGATACACACACACACACACACACAAGGCATAGCATAAGTGCAACTAAGTACTTCCGTAATATAAACAAGGCATGGTGGGGCGGACTACTACTAAAACCGATCCTACCCCAAACCTAGTAGGCCCAGGGTTACCCTCCATTTACCTAAACCCACTCCTATTCCATTCAAAAGCTTTCCATACCCGCCCCTTTAGGGGTGGGGTTTGACGGAACCCAACTGGTCTGATCATTTTGCCATCCCTATTATCGAGGAGTGGGGTTTAGGGTAGACCTGTAAACGGGTCAGATTCGGACCGGATTAGTACTGATCCGATCCGATAAGGCTATGTTCGATCCAATCCGATCCGATAATCCAACGGATATTTTGTAAATCAATTCATATCCGATTTGTTAATAAACGGATATCCAATCCGATAATTCAATCCGATCCAATAAGGGGGTGTGTGTACAATTTTTTTAAAATATATATATATTATGTCAAAAGAGAATAAAAATAATAAATAAAACATGAAAAAGAAAATTATATCTTTTATTCTTTGTTAAAGAATAAAAATTTCGAAATAAGAAAAAATAAAGAGAGTGAAGAAAGATAGGAGAAAATAATGAAATATTTTGATAATATATAAATATTATAAATTATAAGATTAAATTATATATGCTTAATGTATTATAATCCATATCTGATTTGTTTAGGTAATGGGTTATCAGATTCGGATTGTTAACGGGCTATCGGATTAAATCTTCAATCCATAACCGAGTTATTGGTTCGGATTCGGATCAAAATCCGATCCATTGACAGGTCTAGTTTAGGGATCTGAAAGCAATTCAAATTCGCTATTCTAGGTAAACGAGGCTGGAGGTTGCAAGTTGAAAGCAAAGGTTTATTATATACATTTATAGAAGCAAATATTTCCCAAATTCCAGTTATATGGAGGCCAAGGGTACAACTCCTATGGCATGCAAGTATTCTTGCTAATAGAAAGGTATTGGAGAAGGGGATAATTTGGAAGATAGCTAACAAGAGGACTGGGTGTCAGTCATAAATGGGTACATGATGAAGGTGAACTCAGATTGCTTTAAAAAACTGATAATCTGGATTCTGTTAGCTTTCTGGCTGATTTTATAAACACTGATACTATGACTTGGAAGGAAATTTTGGTGAACAGACTAACCAATTGCATAATTAGTGAAAAGAATTTGAAGATCCCTTTTAAGTAAGAGCAGTAAAGAGGACCATTGGAGTTTGGGCTATTCTACAGATAGAAAATACTCTGTTATCAAGTAAACCTCAGTGCAGTACAAGAAAATATAAAGTTCTAGTAGTACGGAGCACCGTAGCATTAAGCATAATTTTGTTGGTTTCAGAAGAGAGTCTGGGATTAAAAATGAAGGAAAAAATTGAACACTTCCTATGAAGGGCAGCAATAAAGAACTACCAGTGCATGATCTACTGCAGGGCAGAGGAATGGCTCTGGATGATACGTGCAGGGTATGTGAGGGAGAGAGTTAATTGATGTATCTGAGGCTGGCTTAATTGATATTATAGTAAAGACAACTTAGTAAATCAGTTTCAAATAGTAGAAGAGGGATTTCTAGAAAGAGGAAGTCAATGAAAGCTGAGAAGTAGAATAATGGGGATCCGATTACGAAAGACGTTTGAAATGTCATAGAATGGATGTGTTGAAAAAAAAAGGTTATGAAAAGACACGAATTTGAGTGTTGTGTTCTTCCTTTCTTTTCTTTTATTTATTTTTTTTTTTTTTCTTTGCTAAGTAGTGTTGTGTTCTTTCTTTTAAATAGAGATTGATTGATATTTATTTATAAGTAACATATTGAAGTGTTTTCCAAGTAGAAAGAAAGAACAATTGCAAGACCCAAAAACCTTTCTAAGTAATGTGTTCTACTGTTGGTAGGTAACACATAATGTCAAAAATGAAAAAAATATCATTTGATATGTTGAAACAAGGATGTTTCCCATGCCTTCTATTATTGGTTGACATAATGAGTTACTAATACAAGACTCGGAGTTGTCACCCTACGGTGAGTCACATTTATCATATATCCAAAGGCAACCAAGTAGCATGTGAACTACATTCAAAGGTAAGACTAGTTTGGGCCAACTAGCATGTGGGCTATATTCACAGCCACCCTATGGTGAGAATGTTTTGATGTTAGCGGTTAATGTGCGAATATCGGTGGCTGTGTGACTATAGGGCTCTTCGCTTGGGTTTTGGGGACCAACAACGAACAACAACCGTGGACTGATGGAAGCAGCAACGATGCCTTCGCTACTGGTTTGAAGGTTGATATGGGGTTACAATTATGGTAAATTATTAGTGTCAGTGGTCAATTTGGCGGTGAAATTATGTATTCAAATAAAATTCTCCATTCTCTCTCTCTCTCACATGGGTAACCAAGCCTAATGCACCACTAAACACAACAATGATTACAAAATTAAAGTGGACTCAGTTGCCTGATTTATTGGTACCGGTAAGCTCAACTATCAATGCAATAGCTACAAAGCAAGTTATGTGATTCTACACCAAAAGCTCATTAAAGTCCCCAAGTTTAGTAAGTAAATCAAAGTGGAATTGTTATCAATTTTGGAAAATTAATTTTACCTTCATACAATAGCGCGTTTAGGGATACAAGAGAGGACCTCTACATCTGTAATTCCCCTCAACACTTTAGCTTGAAAGATTTGAGGCTCGCCACTTTTACCATCCTTTGCCTCAAAGGTTATATAATAAAGAATACCAGTAAGGATCTCTGTATTTGCCTTGATAACCCTCACAAACTCATAATCTGACTCCTACAAAAAATAAATAAATAAATAAGAAGAAATTAAAAGAAGAAGAAATGAAAAATGAACATTAAAGGTGACCAAAAAAAAAGTGCCTCATACTTTTGCTTTATTGTAGGATTGCAAAGCTCTCTTTGAGTGGTTGCTGATCCTCTCGAGGGTTTCCTTATCCTTGCTGAGTCCGCGAACTGGCGTTATCATACATAATGCGAAGGCTTTGGGGAAGTACGGAACAGAAAAGCCCTATACGATAGAATGTGTTAGATTAGATTATATATATATATATATATATATATATATATATGCATGTATATATACATAAAAATCAAAATACAAATGCTAAATCCAATGTATTAGAAGAATGGAATTGAGTAGAGATCGAAAGGAGAGGAGACACATACATCGGTGGCTTTAGCCCTTGCGTTGTAAATGTGGGACTCTTTCCTGGTGATTTCGTGATAGCCATCATCACCGTATTCGACTTCCTCATCTTCATAGTGTAAAACTTCCTTTTCTTCGCCATCACTATCACTATCATCACCGGAGACATAATCAAAAGAATCATCGAACCTCACATCCTTCTTGCAATCATATTCATTGAGCTTCTGTTTCTCCTCTATTGGTGATTCAAAAACGATTGGAACAGAACCAGGAACAGAACCAAAATCAGAACCAGCAGCACAAAAACAAGCCATACCTAAAGGAAAAACCCTAACACCGCCGCAGGTATTATATAATATTTAATATTGCTTTCTCGCGAATTGATGAGTATTTATTATTTCTCCGCCACCGTTCCTCTGCATTTATATTTCATGCGGTGATAAAATATTGAACTATTCCCCCTTCACAAATTACCCCTAAACTATTGATTTATTATAATTAAGGATAAATCGATCACAAAAGACTATTTTACCCTTCCTTATTAAAATTTTTATTTCTTATTAAATTATTTTTATTATATTTCCTCTTATATAAATATTAATTATAATATTTACCTTAATTATATTATTAGTATCAATTTATCATAAATATATATATATATAAAGATTTGTAACTACTAATTTCTAATATGACTAATTTGTTATTAAAATTATATTATTTATAATAAAATTTATCGTAACCAGTTTAAAAAAATATTATCGTAGAAAAATATCTTTTTTTTCATACAATATATTGATGATTAATTAATAAATTAAAAAAATAACCTTATTTTCATGTAATATATTCATTAAAATTTAAAATAATTAATTTATTTTCTTAAAAAATTTCTACTAAAGATTTTTATTTAAATATTTTATCTCAAAAATTAATGGTAAATTTATGAAAATTTAATAGAAAATATGTCATCAAAACAGTATGATTTTTTTTTGATAATTTATTTAAATAGATTAAGTATAGTTCCTTTTATTGAATTTCAGTATTTTAATTTTTTTAATATCATATATTTCCTTATGTAATTAGATTTCCTTTTACTAAATTTCAATTTTATTTTTTTTCTTCTTTAATTAGATTTGTTGTACCCACTTAAGATATGACTCTTTCTTTTAGATTTTTTTTTTTTAGATTTAACACTGATTTGGCTTAGCCAAATTAGATTCCCGAGTTTTGCGTTTTCTCTTTCACCTCTTTAATTTTTTGTTTTTTACTGTGCCCCTCTAAAAAAAATTCTGACTCCAGTACATGAAATAGCAAAATTAAATCTTGCAACCTTTTCATGGTGGTAACTGGTAAGGAGATAAAAAAGACCCCTTACATTACCGCTGACCATACTTGAAAACACACCGTAGCACTGTATATGTTTAACTGTATTCAGGGACATGTCTTAGTTAGTATATTAAGCGTTAATTTAAAATTAATTAGTAACATAAAAGTATGGTGTGATGTCATAAAATTTGCACCATGGTTTGAGATTGTTTTAAAAAGCCTTTTCAATTTAGAATTGATTCAAAGAGGCAGTTGATGAGGATTTACAGTCATGCCATTTCATGACTAAGTTGTAGTCATTGGGTGTTGCATCTGATCCAATCAAATGATCACCCCAAAACCTCAGTAAATTGGTGGATATAAGAATTTTGTTCGTTATCACAAACATCATTTCTGAATTAGAAACACAACACCACAACCTAAACAGGGGAAGGTGCTTGCTTCCCAACATTTTAAGTTCACCATTATTAAATTAAGGTCTTTTTTAATTGATTTCAAATCTTAGAGAAAATGATGAGAATTTGAGAAGGAGGGAGAGAGATATGGGTTAATTTAAGAGAAAAGGTGAATGAAAATTTAGCAGAGTTGAGTAATTGTAGTCTGATAGAGAGAGAAAATATGAAGAGTATGAAATGAAAATAATGTTGAATATTGAGAATACATTTATCTTTATATTTGCTGATCAATTTAGTTTCTTGAAAAGTGATTTTTTCAAAATTTTGTTTTTTGAAAAATTGCTTGCGTAAATGACGTGGCCAAAACAGATCACCTTTCATTTGGGAACTATTATTCAATTTCTTCAAAAGACATGTCACCCATCAGGCCATCATTCAGAGACTACTATTCTATTTCCTGTCATTACTTTTTATTTTTTTATTGATATGTTGACATTTTGAACACATCTAAAACTATTTAATCTAGAATTTTCAAGCAATGGAATAATATCTCAAAATTTTGTAGAATAGTGTATCACATGTAACAATGTCCATTATGTCATCTAGGTGAGAAATTATGTGAAAATTAATGTCAAAGATGAAACTCCTCTTTTGAAACTTTGATTTTTGAGTAGGTTGGTACTCCGTCCGTGCTCTTTTGTTTATACAAAAACTTTTTTTTTTTTTTTCAACACAAATTATGACCTAAAACAGAGCTCAAACCCAGGAAAAAAAATACTATATGCTTATTAAATGCTACAAATACACAGAAAATAGGGATATTTTGAATAAATTAAGTTGATTCCAACCCACAGCACTCATCAAATTTACAAATAAATTGCTATAAGAAAGAAGGAAAAATCAACTCACAAATTATCAATAAACACCCACCCCTCCTCCCCCCCCAAAAAAAAAAAAAATGAAAAAAATATATATATTAAAGACCCGGAAAATCATATATAATTACTTTTTTTTGCAGTGATATATGTTATTTTTCTTCCCCCAAGACATGTAATGCTGGCACTTCATTGTATGTGCCCAAACCTTTTGCAATTAAGCCTATTGTACTGGTTTGCCTGTCCCAAAAACAAAGGCTCCTGCAAGAACATAAACGTATAATTAGACATGCAGCTACACTGCTAATTCCAAACTGAATTAAATTTAAAAAAAAAAAAAAAAAAGATTTTGTGTAAGAAAAAGAATCATTTACCAAGAGTAGGCATTAGAATAGAAAGAATAGCAGTTCCAACAATCTTAAGTGGCAACCCTGTCTTGATCATATCTTTGATTTCAATGTGACCAGTTGCGAACCCTACGAGATTTGAAGGGGTTCCTGTTGGAAGCAAGAAAGCAAATTGTGCTCCAATGGCTCCGGGGAGCATAAGAAGCAACGGGTGCACGTGCATGGTCTGAGCAATTTGGATGAGTAGTGGCAGGACGAGCGTGGCGGTGGCATCATTTGATGTGATCAATTCAGTTATGGTCCCGCTTATGAGACACACTGCAGGGGCTATGGCTAAGTATGGGGCATTCTCCAAGAAATCTAGGGTTTTTGATAGCACATGGGCCAGGCCACTCGACTGGACTCCATCAGCTATTGCAAAACCACCACCTAACAGCAGAATGATGTTCCATGGCAACTTCTTGCATTTGTTCCAATCCATTATCTTCTCTCCCTTTTGCTTCTTGTTTGGAATTATGAACAATAAGGTTGCCATCATCACCTACATAGATTGAAACATTATTATTTTTTCCTTCACCTAAGTCACACTGTGTAGTCTGTGTGTACATATATACACACCCCCACACGTGTCGGGATCCACTGTAAAAGCCCTCATTTTCAACACATTTATTTTACATTTCAACACATTTTCAACGCTAGTCAAACACAAAGTAATTGAGAAATAAAAGAAATGTGTTGAAAATGGATTTAAATGCATTGAAATACACTAGAGCAAAGGATCCGAAATCATATACACCTATATAATAGTACTTACACTAACAGTTCCGTCCCCAGCACGCCCGTTAAAGAGAGCTCCCCAACCGGGAATATCATCAGCTATGCTCCTTGTCATCCACAAAACTATTAGCATCTGCATCAAACTCTCACGTCAATTAACTTACATATACCAATTAACTTTCCTATCAATGTTTTGCAATATATAAGTAGAGTTTGGCACACACCGAAAACACAGCCAATATCATCTTCTCAGCAAAAGCCATTGGACCTGCCCACACCACATTCAAGTTACAATGTAATCAACAGAACATGAAATTTTAGAGATTAAATGTAAATGTGAAGTGTCATATCACTTGGAGGAGAAGTTCATGACATTTACAAGAGGATGCCTCCTACATACGTAAACGTGTTTTGAATGCTTATGTAGTATAAATTGGACAATATCTATACATTGATGGCCGAATATTGACGAATGGAACTAAAATTCTCGAAAACAAAAGTAGGGGTTCGACAAATTTGGGGGGCTTACCTAAGGTTTGAAGCTCCCTCCTCAAATGGGCTTTGTCCAAATAAGCAGAGAGAGCCTGAGAAGTGCCCTTTGAGCAATACAACAAACAAAGTATACCCCACAGAGCAAAGAAAATCAATAGAGCCAAAGGAAAGCCAAAGAAGAACCATGTGTTGAAGCTTATGGGGTCTGCTTCTGGATAGGACCTCTTCCACATTCCCGCCAATATCAGGTTGACACCTGTCCCGGTGAGCGTGCTCAACCCTCCTATTGGCGCACAGTATATCACCCCCAGCACCACGGCTCTGCAGAATTTACCCACCACCTCCGATTGGTTGGGCCCAGATGGCAATCGATGTAAAATTCCAGTGGCCACAGGCATCATCATCACTGCTGCTGCAGTGTTGTGCATCCACATGCTCACAAACGCCGTCGTTGCGCATATTCCTAGTAGGAGAAGTGGTGGATTGAGTGGATCACCACAGAATAGTAGTGTTATCTGCATATATGGTCCACATACACACAAAATTATTGCAACATGTTATACATGCTGTGACATCAATTATTACTACCAATCATGCATGAGAGAGGGTGGCCAAATGTCATTTTCAAACAATTTTTTAATTTACAAAGAAAAAATAAAAATAAAAATAATTATTTCTTTTAAAGAGCAAAAAAATATTTTACCATAAAAGATATAAGTAGCCTACAAGTATTGACATTTACATAAGATTGGAATTCATTTTTTAATTTGTTCCAATAATTAAGAGAAGAGCAAAAAGTATTTTACTAGAAAAGCATATAAAATAGCAACAAGGATTGGCATTTACGTAAGATTCCAATTCATTTTTTTTAATTTGTTCCAATAACTAAGAGAAGAGTCATGAGGGTCGTTCTCGCTAATTGTAGGTGGTTAGATTGAGATGGGCGTCTTAATTTGTTCTAATAATTAAGGCAGTAATTCACGTGAAAAAATGTGTTAAAATAAAAAATTCCAACTAAATAAAAAATAGTTTGTTCGTTAAAAAAAATAATAAAAAAAATGAATCGATTAGAACCAATAAAACCCTCCAAAATGTATATTCTATCAATTTTATCATACCCATCGGTCTATTTATAGTCCAATTACTACTATGGTCTAATCACAAAATCAAACTTTATAGCCAAAGTCACCGACCATTCAAATACAGACACGAGTTCCACTAAAAAGGGTCTAGTTTTGTTAATCTCTAAATCAAAAATCAAGACCAATCATCACAGTTCAACTGTTTTTGGAATCAAAACCGAACCATTAACCACATAAAACTAAATTAAACGGTACAATTTGATCAAATTTGATTCAATCACACAAATAATGTTCACCTCTAATTATTTAGAAAAGAAACAACCCATAATAGGAACTTACATTCAAGGCCAATCTTCTGTGGATGTTGTAATGCTCCACTGCAAGAACGAGTATGAAGCTTCCAAGGAGCAGCACAATCACATCGTCCATATAAGATTTGGCAACATGATCAGCAGATGATATGCCGAACAAAGGAAAGAGAAAGAGGGGCGAAATTGATGTTATAGGCATGGGCACAGCGTCGGTGAGCCACCAGGCGAAGACCCAAGTCATGACGGCCAGCATGTTCCGGCTAGTCGCCGGACCATCTACCTTAACCCACAGGCATATAATGGTGCTCAAAAGTGGTCCCAAGAGAATGAAGAAATGGCTGAGTGTGAACACTGATTTGACCAATGAATTGAAGCTCTGTGGCCGTTTGATTGGGTCGTGGGTTGGAAGCAGAGGGGTTTTGTTTTCATCTGAGATATCTGTTGTCTGGTCACCGTTCATTTTGGAGGGGTTGAGAGAGAATCAGAAATGGAGATTCACAGAGGTTGTATATATGTATATGTGTGTGCAACTGTGTGTGTATATATATATTGTATATACTTTTGGGGGAAAAGTGGGTAGACAAGTTTTGTAGTTTTTCTTCTTATGATTTTTGGATGTAGCTCATGAATACTAATAGGAACATGAGTCACACATGACTGGAATGGATTATTTTTAAAATTCTGAGTGTTTTTTGTGAACCGTGGTTTGGTTCGGGTCGGTCCAAAAATCATTAGTGAGCCACGTGGTGGTAGGTGGTGGTGAATTGACATTAGAGGATAAACGGTTTCCTTTGTATTGTTCATTCCATTGAAAGAAAATTACTGTAAAAGTTAAAGATTACAGGAGGTTGCTAAATTAAGTGATGAAGACCCAACTGTAACTGTGTTTCTCAATCTTTTTATATGCTAAATAAATATACTCCCTCTGTTCAAACATTTTTGGGCTTTTTAAAAAAATTTACTTTTATAGTAATGAGTTTTTAATTTTTTTTGTATTAATAAAAATAAATTTTCAATCATTATTAAAAACAAAATAATACTAGTAGTCAATGCACTTATTTAAGCAAGGGGTAAAATGGAAATGTCACATAAAAGAGCACAATCATTTTTTTGAATGAAAAACGTATTTTGAAATATTTTAAGATAGAAAAATGATAAGAATTCTGAAACCGAAAGAGAACTTATAAAAGTGCAAATTACGGGCTTCTATCTTAAACGTGTTTTTATCCTATTTATGCCATATTTCAATTGTGTCAAATTTTCAAATTTCAATATACTTTAATCGTGTTGAATAAATGTTCGGATCGTATCTCATGCATACTTGAACTTGTTCCATACCCAAAGCCAATTCAAAGTGAATTTCCCCTCTTGCACAACTTTTTGGATCTATACTGTCCATACTCATAAGAAGTGTCGGGACTTATCACGGATGTCACCAGGTTCACCAAATATATTTAATTTGTTACATCAATACTTTAAATGTATATATGCACCGGTCTCAAATTACTAATCATGATTGAATTCAAACCCCAAAAAAATAAGATTCCATTTGTTTCGATATAAAATATTTTTCTCACAAAAGATTTTTATTTTTTTTCAAGGTAAAATATATTTTTTACTTTAACTTTTTCGATGTTTTACAAAGGTTTAGATCAAAATTGAGGTCAAGTCCATCGAACGAAACATGTAAAATTTTTTTGTTTAAAATTAATGAGTAAATTATTATTATTAGATTTTATTTTATTTTTTTTCTTCATAAATATTGTACGATAATCAAATATCAAAAAATAAAAACATATTTTCTAAAAAAAGAGAAGTGGATAGTATTTTACTTTCTTTATTTTTCCATAATAATTGCTGGATATTATAAGTCGAGGACACTGATGCCAGGATGAATCATGTAGCCTGGTCGACAGAGTAATGGATAAAGATGACTGACACGTGGGTGTTTCTTATCTCTTATCCTTTGCTCATCTGCCACGTCAGAGGCCAACTCAGAAAACCAATAATTTGATAGAATTGACTTTTCAAATTTTTTTTTTTTTTTTTTTTCTTGTCAAATTAAGAAGGTGACATCAAATAACTAATTGCTACCATTATTAACAAACGGGACAAGCAATTATGTTTTGCTGACTTTTATTTTCCTCTTTTACAGTAGTTTTTATATTTTTATATTTTAATTTTCAAGAGTTCCAACTTCAGAACTTCTAAGTGCAAAACAAAAAAATATAATTAAATAAAATTTCAGTAAGTGAGCAAAATATAATATCCCTTATAATTTAAAATAGTCACGTCTAATTTAATAAACTGTTCCATAAAATTAAAAATTAAGTATTGAAAATATTAAGAGATGAATTTTTAACACTAATGTTTTTAAGTGCTAATTGAAAAATAAATAATTTTTTAAAATATTTTTTAATTTTCAACATTTAACATTCAATAATAAATGATGTACCTGTTACTTAAAATTTTATCGCTTTTTAAGTAGTTTTTATCCTTTTTAGCGATATTTAAAATGTGTTATTAAACGTACTAATTTAAATAAATGTTGAATTAAGTAATTAAATAACACCAACCTTTTAAGTTATAAAAATATTATTATTTAGCATCTGAACATGTTATAGTAATATTTCTTTCTTTTTTTTTCTCAAATAAAGTTAAATAAAATATATATGTGTAAAAATATTATAATTATAATATATCTACTACGAAGTAATACTTAAAAAAAACAAAAAAAACAAAAAAAAATGTTACTATAATATATCTATATTTAAACTTAATTCAAGTTGAGTCACTTGAGCGTCGATTACGATTTTAAAAACAAATCAATCAATCAATCACATTCTAGACTAAAATTTCAAAACTAATTTAATATAATCCAACAGAGTTGTAGTATCGAATTTTGTGACATATTCTTGACTAAAATTTCAATCAATCACAAGTCACCAGACTTCACAACATGATAATAAAAAAATAATAATATCTCGGTCGCCGAGCTCGAATGAATATTCAAACAAAACGGGTCAATCCTGTAATTGACAAATAGGATAAAATTGTCATTTCAAAAAAAAAATAAAAAATTATTAATGTACGACAACCTTAAAAAAAAATGTGTTAAATGTGTAGTTCCGTCGAACTTGGAAACTATGAAAGGTGTTGTGAATAAACAATTGAAGAAACGTGTAGAAAAAGGAGTGGATCCAACAATTCAGTCATGGGGACCACGGGTTCCATGTGATTCATTTAATCTGGTGATCATTGCTATAAAAGAAACGGCAATCACCATCAAACTTTTAAAAAAGCCTGGCATAATAACACTCCCTCCGGGCTCACTGAAGTGCGTGACTCACGCCAAAATCATTTTTTTTTTATTTTTACTGAATTTTCATATTACAATTTTCAGAAATTTACATATCTAATGTCTTAAAATTTATTCCAAAATATGTTACATTCAAAAAATAAATATACTATGTTTTATAAAATTTTCAATCAATCCTTTTGATAAGGGCTTAATTAAAATGATTTGTGATTAATGGAAACTAGGACAATTTAGGAATTTGTCCGCAAAGAAACACAACTTACACACTTGCTTTAGTTTATTAAAACTCTCATCATTTGCTTTGGTGATTAAGGGCCTTATAGTTTTTTTTTATTCACTTTTTTTTTTTTTTTTTGTTTTTTTCCTTCTTGTGAAAGTTGGGTTAGATGAGAAGGCATGGAGTTGATTCCTAGGCACCGGGATGGGAGATGGCCACTATTAGGCTATCAAGGTTTTTTTTTGATATTTTTTCACTTTTAAAGTAAAAAGTGGTGTATTCAAGTGGAATAGAAGTGTGTTAACATTTCTTAGCACGAATTTAATTCATAAACATTGGGATGGGGAGATGCCCATTACTAGGCTATCAAGGCTGTTTCGATATTTTCTCACTTTTGAAGTAAAAAGTGGAGTATTCAAGTTGAACAAAAGTGTGTTAACATTTCTTAGCTTAAAAAAAAAAAAGTTTCACTTTTTCTTAGTAAAGATTTACTAAAGGTAATTTTCTCATTAACATTAAGTTTAGTAAAATATAAGTAAAGTAATATTTTACAATAACATAGACACAAGTTTAAGTAAAGAAATATTTTATTTTTACTATATCGGATTTTAGACGTTTAGTATCTCAGAATCAAAGAGGATTTAATTTGTTAAAAGAAAAAAAATATGCATAATCAAAACTTACTTTTCTTGGTAAGTTTTAATTAGGAGTGGCAAATAGGCGGGTTGGGTCGGATTTGTGTTGGGTTAAAAAAGGACGGGTTAAATATGGGTCAAAACCCATGTTCAACCTCGTTCAGAATGGCTTAAAAATAGACGAGTAAAAAATGCATAAGGTTAACTAGTTATAACCCGTGAACCCATTAATTATTATTATTATTTTTTTTCAGGAACATTTGAAAATTTTATTTAATAACAAATAAAAAAAAATCTCAAACTCAACAATATTTATCAACTCGTTTTAGAGAGAGAAATGGAGAAAATAGAAGAAATATTGATGTTTTAAAATAAAATTTTTAAATTTTTTTTGATGTTTACAAACATGTAAAAAAAAAAAATGTAATTTGCATATTTGAAAAAAAAAAAAAAAAAAAAAAGACCCGTGAAACCCGATCGACCTGCCCAAAATATTGATGTTTAAAAAATAGAATTTCCTTAAAAATTTTTATGTTTACAAACATGAAAAAGGAAAATGTAATTTGTAAAAAAATAAACTAAAATAGACCCGTGAAATCTGACCGACCCGACAAAAATATTGATGTTTAAAAAATAAAATTAATTTTGATGTTTATAAACATGGAAAAGGAGAATGTAATTTTTATATTTATAAAATAAAAAATAAAAAATTGATGTTTACAAACTTGGAAAAGGAAAATGTAATTTGTATATTTAAAAAATAAATAAATAAATAATAAAAAATTGATCCGTGAAACTTGACCGACTCGCCAAAAACATTGATATTTTAAAAATAAAATTTGCCAAAAAATTTTAATGTTTACAAACATGGAAAAGGAAATGTAATTTGCATATTTGAAAAAAAAAATAAATAAATAACCAATGAAACCTAATAGCCAAAAATATTGATGTTTAAAAATATTGATGTCTAAAAAAATAATAATAATAAAATAAAATAAAATAAAAATTTTGACCCGTGAAACTTGCCCAACCCATCCAAAAAATTCGAACTGGGTTATGGACATAACCATTTTGGATATAATTCAGACTGGCCCAACCCAACCCGATTTCGGGTTGAGGTTGGGTTGGGACTGGGTTAGGTTGGGCCAGCCCAACTTGCAACACTAATTGTGAGTGAAAATTTTAGAAATAGACATAAGTTAAGTGTAATATAGAATAAATATGTATTGTGTATCTATTATGTGATGAGTAAAATATTGGTGTTTGAATATGGCTATTTTGACCCTCAAATTAAGTAGTTAAAATTATCCAACTCATTTTTGATCCATCTTAAATATGATTCATCTAAAATTATTAAAAAACGAACTAATATGAATGATTTGATGGGTTATGACTCATTTTATTACTCCCAGTTTTAACTCATTATTAGGTGGTTGAATAGTACACCTTGTCGGAAGATGAAGT